GAGAGAGAGAGAGAGATAACAAGTCATTTTGAAGGGAAATAAGAAGAAAACAATGACACGTGTGCTTACATACAAGATTTGTCTTCATAAATACCATTTTTGGGAAAAACATCTTTGACATGTAGATCATATCGCACCTATTTGTCTTCAGACTCTGTGTCCCGAGTCGTAGACTGAGATTCTGCTGTATGCATGCTTTTGCCTTAAATACATGTACATACAAGCAAACTCACACACACAGGCATGCACACATACAAGTTGACCAGAAAAAAGTTTGTGCAAAGAAATTAATAAGTTTCTTTTTATGATCTAACTGACACCAGAATTGATAACGAGCTGGAACACACATCTGGATTTCGTGGTTTTTATTTTCTTTTCTTTTGGGCGATGGTAAGATGACAAAGCAGCTGCAGTCCACCCCTGTACAGCATGTTTTTTGCCGCGAAAAAGTATCACCAAACGAAATTTCCAAAAATCGACTCATACATTGTTTGCTCAGGAATGTGGGACAGATATCCCTAATGAACTTGCAAGCCAAAGGTCCACTTCGAAATGGGTGTATTGAAAGATTTAGGTACATAGAAAATAAGAACTTAACTTTTAAGTTTCTAGCAAATAGGCCTCTTTGGTGTAGTGGTTAGGCGCTTTGCTGTCGCATGCAGGAGCCATGAGTTTGAATCCCGTGTGGAGAGAAATTTGTATAAATTATCTCAGTCTTTCTGTTAGGATGTATCTCGCTCAGCCAGGATTGGCCCTGACAGGCAGGGTCGGAAGCACGCCTCTGCGTACGTTTAAAAAAACGCCCAAAGCAACACACAGTAGGCCGCCTGTGACACAACTGACTCTTGAAAGGGTTAGGGTGGTCCGTGATTTGGTGATCGGAGAACCAAAGAAACAAGACAGTGTCGTAGTCTGGAGGTTGGAATTCCCAGGGAATCTTTGAGACATCTTTTATTTTGGATGCTTTGGGGCTAAAACCGTACAAAAATCCAACAATGACTCACTGAAGCAAACCCGGAAGCCAGACTGGACATGGGTAACGAGTTCCATGATCAGCTCAATCTGGATGAAACTTTTATCCACTGGTTCTGGTTCTCTGACAAAGCTTTTATGTCAGCACCAATGGTTACGCGAAGAGCAAAAACTATGTTAAGGAGAAAGGCCTGCCCAGAGGGTTACGGTGTGGTAAGTGATGAACTATCAGGGCGTTACCGCCCCTTTTGCTCTCTCGCTGAGCATCAGCATTCCGTCACAGTGAACTCTGAACGATACTTCGTCCTATCAACTTTTTAGGGATGCTAAGGACTATTTGAGGGAGTTGAAGTTGAAGGGAGACAGAACCAGTGTTTTCGGCAAGGATGGGCTGCATCTCATGTCCCCAGAGCTACTCTACACTGGACCAGCACCCAAGTCATGGGACTGAGTACAAAGGGGCCACAGACAGTTAGGACCGGAGTCCAGAACACTTTCACCTTTGGGGCTACTTGAAGGACAAAGTATGTCACATAGTATGTGGGAAACCTTTGAAAATTTTCTCCACTTGAAAGAAGTCATCTCAGATGGCACAAGAGAGATTTCCCATGAACAGCGTCAACTTGAGATTGTCAATTTCAGACAGTGTATCAGAATGTACTTTACTCGAAATGAGAGGCATTTAGAACTTATCTTGTAACTTTGTTAGTGGCTGTCATAATTATTTTATTGTAGAATAATTATAAAATAAAAATCTAGCATATTGATGCTGGTAACTTTATTCATAAAAGTTTTATCAGCGTTCCTTTGGATACACTTTTTTCCCTGGTCATCGTAATGCATTTGAACCCC